AAGCGGGTGAGGGTCCAGGGTGCTGCCTCGGCTGTACGGCTCTACGTGGTGGCTGGTGCTGTGGGATGTACCTCACCCAAAGAAAGTACTTTAACTCACTTGACACATGTGCTTGCTAGAGACATGCTAACTCGTAACTGGGAGTGCGCGCCAAGGAAGCAACCCTCAACGATACCGTCCTCTGCACACGGCGAGCCAATGGCAGTGGCAATGGAGAACGCACTTTCAAGCGTCCTAGCTAATGCAGCTACATGTTCGCGATGGTACAAGGCTAAGCGGCTCTTTGCTCCCAGGAGAGCCAGGGGGCAAGGAGCGGCAGTAGTGGGCCGAGCGTTGCTCAGTGCCGACGGCGGCCTGAGGTGTCGCCCTTGGGAGGCGAGGGAGGCGCGTGCAGAGCGTCACGCAGCTGCTGCTCCTTGTCCAGGGCCCGCGCCGACCGCGGCTGGGAGATCGTACTCGGGCAAGTCCTCATCGTGCTCCAAGCTCGCCGCCTGCTCCGCCTCGCTGAGCATCTCCGAGTCGTACTCCGCGATCATGTCGTGAACTTCGCTGGCGATGTCGTCGATGATGTGGGCCTCGGCGGAATCGGCTGCGACGATCACCGGGAAATAAACTGGCGCGAGTGCTGAGAGCTGCATCGGCGTCAAGGCAAGGGCGAGTCTCGGCAGAAAGCGACCGCGTCCATGACGCGTCCGATCGCCGAAAAAAAACGTCGGGATCGCCGGTGCGAGCGTGCGGTTAATGACTGCACTCCAAGTGCTCCAAGTGCTCCCCTTCCTCATTTGGTGCGATTCGAGACAAAGATGGTGCCCTGCTGTGGAGCTTGGCTCCGACTCGTCACTCGCGGGGCGGGGGAAGCTCCTGTGTGGCGAACATACATGACGAGCTGTGTGGCGAACCTGCAGCTCGTCCGAGTCCATGCGCATAACGCTACGCTGAACCAAATTGTCGTTAGACGGAGAAGCGCTCGGGCCCCAAGGAGGCATCGCCACACGTAGCCCGCGACGGAAAGCAGCACCGCGAGGCTGACAAAGGCAAGGGCTAGCTCGTTGGTTGCGTTGCCTTGCGTCGCCCAGAGGCCAAGCAGCGGTAGGTGCCGGGCGCCATCGCTTGCCGGCGGCAGCGCGTGTTTCCATTGGAGCAGCTCCTCGCTCAGCTCGCCCGAGGCGACGGCTTCAACTCCATGGCGGTGAAGGATCTCGAGCAGTCCCGCCTCGTCTGCGTGAGCGTCACGGATCCGCCTCGAGCTTGCTGATTGCGCCGTCGCCGTTGGCGTCCAGCTCGTCCTTCTCGCTCTTTGTCACCCGCCCGTCCCCATTCAGGTCTAGCGCCTCGTGCCCGCTCACGCGCCCATTGACATCCGTGGTTGCCTCGAGTGCCTCAAATCTGGCCTCAACCACCGCCTTCTCGCTCTTGCTCAGCTTGCCATCGCCGTTGAGGTCGAGCTTGTCAATGAGCTCCAGCGCTTCCTGTCGACTCACGTCTGGGGGGGCGACCCCCCCATCTTTGTTTACCGATGCGTCCTAGAATGCAAAAACGCATTCTAGGACGCACTTTTCATCTCAAAGATACCATGTGTCTCGGGTACACAGGGCATTCTAGGATGCGATGGCTGTCCTGGAGATAGCCGCGCCGTGTCTTTTGTTACGCGTTCCATCTTAGACGCCACAAGCATCTATAGATGCACAGCTGTTCTGAGATGGCACTTGCATACTAGATCACATTTTACTATACTTGGACAGGGAAGCGTCTCAGGAGACACCGTGTGTCGGGTGCACCGGGCACCGAGGGGGGAGCAGGGAGCCAGGGAGCACGAAAAGGCGGTGTGATCTCTTCGGACCCCCTGGGGGCCCTGCCTTGAGTGCTCGTGT